CAGCTGTACCAGAACCGCTCCACGCACTCCTCCTCTGGGAAGAGCTCATAGCAAGGGGTCTGGATGATCTTGAAGCAAGCTGGGCCCACATCCTGGGAGCTGCTGCCACCGCTGTTGGCTTTCTCTGAGCAGTCTTTCCCCCTGGAATCACAGTCGCAGTGGCTGACAGCATGCAGGTGCAGCTGGTGGTGGCCGTAGTCCGAGACCAGGGGGTGAAGGATGTGCCTAGCACACTGCGTGTGATTCCAGTGGCACCTGTCGTTCTCCTGGAGGTCAGCTTCAGAGGAGCAGGTAGACCCCTCAGTGCTGGATCCCCCGCTATCCAGGTGTCTTCTCTCCCAGTTGGGTGACCTGTTGATGTCCCCGCTCTGGCTCGCCTCCCAGTCGTCGGTCTCGCGCCCAGGCACCTCCCCAGTCCATCTTTCAAGCCTCAGGGTCGTCCTCACCCACATCGCTCTCAGCCCGGTTCCTCGTCTCTACAGGGCTCTCTCCTCGCGGAAGTCCCATATCTTTGATCTTAAAGTGTGTCTCTTATAGGCAGTAGATGACAATATTTCTATGTTATCCCTTACATTTTTAGTTGCTAATTCTTCTGAATCAGAAAATAAAGATCAAAGTAGATGTCAGAAGAGATTCTGAAACATGCTCTTGATCATAAAGTAACTAAGACAATGAGAAGAAATGATGAAATAAAGGATCTGAACAGAAAATTTCAAAAGGCAGCTAGAGCAGAAAGAAAAGTAAAGTATTATAATAAAATGTACAAAGATCCAGAGTTGAAAAATCAAATAAGAAGAACATGCTCACTATAAGTTAAACTAAAAGTACTAAAGCAACTAGGGTTGCAATATTGAAAGACTCTATGGGCAAAATATTGAACAAAGAAGGACACATGAAAAGAAGATGAAGAGAAGATAGCGTCACTGTATTGAAAAGAATTAGTTGACAGTCAACCATTTCAAGATGTAGCATATGACCAAGACCCAATGAATGGCACTGAAAGAAGAACACGCTGCCTTGAAGACATTAGCCAAAAATAAGGCTAAAAACATTGGTTGAATACCAACTGAGCTATTCCAACAAGCTGATGAAAGCACTCACTGGACGTACTTACTCATCTATACCAGGAAGTTTGGAAGGCAGTTACCAGGCCCACTGACTGGAAGAGATCCCTGTATGTGCTCATTTTAAATAAAGGTGACACAACAGAAGATGAAAATTATTGAAACAATGTCACTAAAAGCACAAGCAAGCAAAATTTTGCTGAAAATCATTCAGCAATGGTTGCAGCAGTACAAGGAGCTGCCAGAAGCTCAGGTCAGGCCAGATTCAGAAGAGGATGTGAAACAAGAGATATCACTGATGACATCAGATGAATTTTTGCTAAAAGCAGAAAATACCAGAAAGAGGTTTACTTGTGTTTGATTGATGATGTAAAAGCATTCGACCATGTGGATCATAACTACTATGGATAGCCTTGAGGAGAACGAGAATCCCAGAAGACTTATTTGTGGTCATACATGGCTCAACAAGCAGTAGCATGATGTAAAATCAGGAAAGGGGTGCATCAGAGAAGCTGCCTTATATGAAAGCAAATGCAGCATCAGGATTGGAGAAAGGCTAATTAATAACCTGTGGTATGCAGATGACACAACCTTGCTTGCTGAAAGTGATGAGAACTTGAAGCACTTGTGGTAAAGATAAAGAATTGTAGCCTTGATATGGATTACAACTCAATGTAATGAAAACCAATATCCCCACAAATGAACCAATAGGAAACACCATGATAAATCGAGAAAATATTAGAGTTTTCATCTTGCTTGCATCTACAGTCAATGCTAAGGGAAGTAGGAGTCTAGAGATCAAGTTAAGCATTAAATCTGCTGCACAGGACCTCTTTAAAGTGCTGAAAAGCAAGGATACTTTGAAGACTAAGCCTCAAGCCATGGTATTTTCCATCACTTCATATGTATATGAAAGTTTGACATTGAATATATAAAGAAAACTGAAAAAGAATCGATACATTTGAATTATGGTGTAGGCAAAAATCATTGAAAGTACCATGGACTCCCAAAAGAATGAACAAATCTGTCTTGGAAGAAATACAGACAGAATTCTCCTGAGAGGCAAGGATGGTAAGACTTCGTCTCAAGTACATTGGCCATATTGTCAGGAAAGACTAGTTCCTGGGGAAGAACATAATGCTTGGTAAAGTAGAGGGGTAGAAAAATAAAGCTGAAGACCTTTGACAAGGTGGATTGACATAGTGGTGCAACAATGGGCTCATACATAAGAATAATTGTGAGGGTGGCGCAGGACTGGGCAGGGTTTAGTTTGGCTATACGTGAGATAACTATTAGTTGGAACTAACTAGGTGGCACCTAACAATAACAACAGCAAAGTTAAGCAATTGCCTTATTTATTTATGTTGTGAAAGATAGTCATAGGAAATTCAATGGAAATAAAAAGAGATAGTGGCCAGCAATGTGGAAAAGTTTTAAAATTTCAATAGGACAGTGAGTTAGTTAATTGTGCCAGCCTGGCCGATAAGCACGTGTGGTGCTGGTTGAAAGGCGGAGGGATAAATGGGTGGTGAAGCCTCGCCTTTCTAGTTCTCGGGTCTCTTGTTTTGTGATGGTCAGACCAGGGTGCAGCTGCCTTAGCAGTTCCCTGCTTCAGCTTGCAAGATGGACTTCCTACAAGACATCCCCAAGGAGAAGCCGTGTGGATCTATCCCGATGCAGCCCTGGGTGCTGGAGCAGCCGTGTGGAGACCCTTGCCAGTGCTGAGATGCTTACAGGTTCACGGACTCAGCTTTCCTTCTGCAGTCGGCATCATTGCCTCTGTTTTGTGAGGTGGAGGACTTTGTGGACTGGTGTTGGGTTAATGGGTTAATGTTGGACTTGTGGGCTTGGGCAGCATTGGGTTGGGATGTTTTCGTGATGCACCTTTTCTTTACATAAAACTCTCTCTTATACGTGAGTCGCCGTGGATTTGTTTCTCCAAAGTACCCAGACTAATACAGACAGACGTATAGGAACACTCATAGGAGGGTATGCAATTAGAATTAGGGGAGAGTAGAATGAAAAGACCGTCTCAAGAGAATTTGCCTCAGCAATTGCCTTAGTGCTGCTGCCTCTTTGATCACCCGTAAAGGTCAGACTGGTTCTGGCTCAGGTTTTAAGTTTCAGATCATAACAGACTTAGTAAATAAATCTGCATATAAGAGAGAGAGTAAATATTACACACAGGAAGAAAAATTAATTATTTATCTCTCATTTAAACAAACTAAAAAGCAATCATGAAATAATTAGAAACACCAAACAATGTCTGGATAATTTAAGGTATTAAGAAATTATTAATTTTCTTAAACTTATTAATTTATACTCAAATAATAAACTTGAGTATTGTGGTTATTTTTCCTAAAGTAGTTCCCATTTACTTTGTACTTATTTTTCAGATATTTTAATTAATATTTCTTTATAGATATTTAATATTATATCTTTCATTAACATCAATATGTTTTTGAGGAAGGGAGGAATAAGTGAGGGTGTTAACCAATCCAAACTCAAAACTCACTGCCATCGAGTTGATAACTGACTTATAGTGAACCTGTAGGGCAGGACACAACTGTCCCTGTGAGTTGCTAAGACTATATATACTCTTTATGTTAGTAGAAAGCCTTGTCTTTCTCCTGCAGAGCGACTGATGGTTTTGAATTGCTGACCTTGGGACCCAACAGGTAAACACTATTTGGGTTCTTTAGGTTAACCTACAGAATGGGGGGAAAAATTAGGCAACAATATATCACACAAGAGACCAATCTCTAAAATGTTTACAAAATGTCAACACATCAACAACGACAAAATTAAAAATATGCAAACAGCATGAATAGACACTTCACCAAAGATATTCAGACAGCCATGAAAGAGATTCAGACACATGAAAAATACATGTGTTCATTAGTCATCAAAGAAATGAAATAAAAACAACCATGAGGTATCATTTCTCCCCAGCATAATTAGTGTAATTTGATAAAACAGGAAACAACAAATGCTAGTGAAAGTTTGGAGAGATTAGAACCTTTATACATAAACTGATAGAATTGTAAAACTGTGAAACCACTATGGAAAATAATATGGTACTTCTTTTAAAAAAGAGAAATAGGAATCCTTAGAATTTAGCATATATATATATATATCAGAGAAATATCATGAATGGATATATGCAAATCCATGCTCATTTCACCATGATTCACAACAGCAAAAAGATGGAAACACCCTAAGTTTCCATCAATGAGTAAACAAAGTATGGAATAATATACAACATTAAAGACAAGGATAAATTTGCAAAGCACCCCATATATGGATCAATCTAAAGAACATTATGCTGACTAAAGTTGACACATGCAAAGAAATATACTTTGAAGTTTACCAAGGGCAAGGGAGGACGGAGTATAAATCGCTACCTAGAGGGTAGACACACATTAACTTGGGCGAGAGAAAGATCATGTATTGTAAGGTGGGGAAATCAGCACAAAAAGAGCAAAGAAAGGAAGACACTGGAAGGCACACAAGAGAAAAGGCAACAAAATTAAATATGATTATATGCTTCATCCTGCAGTAACAATAATAACAATAATCTACTATAGAGACACGCAAACTCCACAAGGATGAGAAGGTCAATGGGCCTACATCCTTGGGAAGAAGATACGGCTTTCTACTCCCATAAAAAATGCACAGCCTTGGAAACCCTAAAGGGAGCAACTATGAGTCAGACTTGACTCCGTAGCAACAGCTAATAAGGTGAACAATATCAGGAAGGTTCACACTCCTGAGAACAATCAACCACACAAAATAAAAAAGGCATCATTTGCATAGGCCTAAAACTCAGGAAAAGAAAGGGAGGAAATGGATGAATGGAAATATAAACACAGGTAGAAAGTAGGGAAAGTGCTATTTTATTGTGGGGATTGCAGCCAATGACACAAACCAAAATGGGTGTGTGTTAGACAGGGATCTCTAGAGAGACAAAATCAGAATGCTAATAATTTTATATACATTTATACAGATAGATAGATAGCATAAGAAATAAACAGTTAATGAAATTATAAAGCAGTACAAATGGCTCAGTGCAACTCACTCCCGGGAGACAGTTGTGAGACACTGTCAGTCTTGAAGGTCGCCAGGTAGTCCTCTGTAGAGCAATTCAGGCTATCTGGGCACAGGCAGCAAACAGCAAGGCAGGTCACCAACAGTCAGTCAGATGACAGGGTCCCACAGTCCCCAGCTCAAGGGACAATTGTGTGGCGAAGCAGGTCTTGAAGGAACCTCAAATTACAGCGACACAGTCCACGGGTTAGGTATCCCACAGGTAGTGTAGCTTGGAAATTGAGGCACAGAACAAGCAAGGCACTGGTCCGATGATCAAAGAGCAAGAGACAAGAAAGCCT